GGGGGGGGCAGGGGGCGGTTCCTTAGTTTGCATTTCTCAACACTCCTGTGTCCAGCCTGGCAGTCTGGTCAAGGCAAGAGAACCAATGTGATGCTTGCCCCAGATGAGATTTTTACCTCAAATACTGGCCTTCAAGCCCCTTTCCAGATCAGTAGAGAGCCCTGAAAAGAGGCCATCTTGCTTACGTGAAATGAACCTTGGTGCTCCTGGTGGCCTCTTGCGGGTGCCCCGACCCTGTGTGTGCAGCAGGGTCCACCTGTGAGCAGGGCCCGCTGAGGACCTCTTGCTGGGATGTGCCCTCTCTTAGCTCCGTGCTGCTGTTGAACGTGGGGCCCATCAGGAGAAGGGCATGGGGCCTCTTGGTGAGCGGCTAGTCCAGCTCTTTTGCCGGGCAGGGTGGAAGGAAGGAGAAAAGGATCCTGAGAAACAAATCTCTTGGCAGTTCCAGAGAATTCTCTTTAAATCAAGCTCATCTTTTATTTTTGGGGGTATGAGAACAGCGAAAAAGAGATTCCCCAGGATGGAAGGGAAGCCTCGTGTTTCTTTCCTGTGGATGTGAGGTACACTCACTGGGGTGTCGGGAGAAATGAGGCAGGGACCTCAATGAACTTGGACGGACCGTAGAAGCTGGGAATGAAGCTGGGAAGAGCAGGACTGGGGGCAATCAGAACCCGCTTGTCACCTCAGGGCATCACTGAGCACACATTCTGTGGTGGGACTTCTGCCCGGGCCCAGGCTGGGGAGGTGAATTAACCGGGCAGCTCCCCTGTGCCCCAGGAAAATCCACACTGTTCTCTCTGCGCTATGAGCTCCTCCAGGAGACAATTATTTAAGTCTAACATATTGTTGGTTTTGTGACAGTGGTCATGGCACATTATTTTCACTGCTGTTGTCGTGTTGTTGCTATTGTTATTTATTGTCATTTGAGTTTGCCTCTACTGGAGAATCTCAACAGGAGCTGGCGGCCTGTCTCCCTCTCCACTGGACTCTACCTCTTGAACATGCTGAGAACCTCTTAGCGCCTGTCAGGAACTCCTCCCTGTTTAAATATTTATTTATTGTTGACAGCTGGAACTGGTTTTCTAGATGTGAATGATGTACTCAATCCCCATTTTCCTGTTTCAGCATGTTATTTTATTGTGAAATAAAATAAAACCCAAATATGAGATCCTGTCTCTAAGGGCTGTGTGGTCAGGGGAAGACGTAAAGGGAAGTGCCGGCAGGAGTCTTGTGGGAGAGCTGGCGTCTGGAGATGCCACAGGATGCATGGGGAGCTTTCGAGTTATGGGCAGAGGCACAAGTCAAAGGCTCAAGTTTGCCTGGTGACCTGTTTGAACGGTGGCCACCAGGATGGGTAACTTCATTCAGCTGGTGACAGCCCAACTTGTGTCAAGCCATTGTGTCGTGTTGATTGGACCTGGCTCAGCTGTTATTTCAGAGTCCATTTCCTCTCTCCACCCGGCCCAACACATGCCATTCACAGTTCTTCTTTGAACAGAGCAAGGGGTGGTTGCCCCTGGCCAAGTAGCCACACATTATCAGTTGGGGGGGACTTCTGTGCCATTTTCACCTTTGCCCATTTTCAATTTGCATTAGTATCCTTTTAAGATGTCATATAAATTCAGGGAGTTAGTATTCCTTATAATTTCAGAGACCTCTCTGAGATGAGCTCTGGGAAGCCACTTGGTACATGGGACTGTTCCATTCCCGGGGCAGAGGGAATGAGAGGTTTGCACTGGGCTAGAAAGAACTTTGGGGTAGGCTTGCAAGGATCCAATCTGCTCCCCCTCTGCCGATCACCTACTCGTTCTCCCTAAATTCTTCTCTATGTTGAATTATCTGTTTATATAAAGATAACTGAGTAAAGTGACCAGACTTCAGAAAACCCAATGGAATCACATTCTGAGCCCAGATCTAAGAGGCGATTCTATGCATGATGCCAGGAGGGATTCTGAGGTTAAGGGCTTGGGAAGGAAGATGGGAACACATACCGTGACAGGCCCTGATCTCACTGAGTCCTTATGGCAGCTCTGTCAGGTAGGTATGATAACCCTACAATACAGATGAGAAAACTGAAGCTCCTGGGGGCATCAGGGGGTGAGAGGGGAACATGCCCAGGGCAGCTGGCTTGAGAGAGTGGCAGAGATGAGATTGGAACCCAGTGACACCGTTGGGGGGGGGAGTCCAGTCTGTGAGGGATGGTCGAGGGATACAATGGATGAGGGAAGAAGAAAGATGGTACCCAGAGAGGTGGGGAGGTAGGAACCTTGTCATCTTCTCATTACTTTCCTTCCATCTTTTTGCCTTTTTTACATGCATTTATTGCATCTAGTGCATTCTATGTGCCTGGCAGAAAACCAAAATAGTAGCCATACCATCAACTGCCGGTAGCCTCATTTAATGGTGGGTGGGGATTCTGGATAAGTTGAGACAAGGGCACAAATGTGTATTTTCTGAAGCAGTATGGGTGCCAGTAGGAAAACGTGGGTGTAGTCGGCTGGTAATGGAGAAATGAATGGGGGTGACGGACCTCCAGTGACTGGGGTGGGTGCTGGCAGGCTCCTCAATCCAGCAAGAACATCCTCAAGGCTTGTTCCCCTCCCCTAGCCCTTCTTCTCACATACAGGGTGGTCTTGGAGCCCATGGCGTGGCCTGGAGGTGATAGATACTCATTAGAGATAAAGAAGAACGACTCTTGGCTGACCTATAAGTCTCCCAGGTGTCAGGCTCAAACCAACACAGGACCTCTACTGTATCGGTTCTCAGAGTGTTTAAGTGATTTCCTGAAAATCATGCAGCCAGCAAGAGGTCTCCAATATCTTTAAACTCACTGGCTCTGGTCCTTCCCCAGAGCACTTCAGGCTTTGGCTTAGCAGGCAAAGCACTTCCTGAGTGGCCTGCTTATGCCTTTCCGGCCTCTGCTCCCAATCGCTCACCTGCCTCTTGAAAACAAACCTTTCACGGTTCCCAGATTCACCCTACTGTTCAAGCCTCCTTGCTTTTGCCTCCTGGACCACCTCCCTGCTGTGTCCCCTACTCCCATCACTCCTTCGTCGGCCTGGGGACGCATCTTTCAAAAGCCGGCTCAAGGGTCTTTCTGCGGCGCCTTCCCTGAGCCTTTGGGTCTGATCCCTGAAGCCTGTGCTTCATGTGCCCCCACTGCTGCTAACCATCATCGGAGCACTTACATCCCTCCTTTCTGTCTCCCTTTACCAGACGGCAAACTCCTGGGGTTTAGGCATGTCCCCCTCTCCAATTTTCTACCCCCAGGGCCTAGCATATACATGTTTAGCAGATGGCTCTTACGTTAATGATTAATTTTAAATCCAGCAGGAGAAACGTTTAGATGACCATTTCCAGCTTCCTATCAGACTCGTCTCCCTGGACGTCCCACAGGCTCATTGTATGGAGCGCATTCAAAGCCAAGGTCATCATCGTCCCCTTCAGATAACCACTGCCTTCTGGTCCCGTAACCCTGATAGGGAGAGACGCTGCTTCTCCTCCCGGCTCACCGAGACGTCTTTATAGTTTTTTTTTTTAAAATAAATTTATTTATTTATTTATATTTTTGGCTGTGTTGGGTCTTTGTTGCTGGATACGGGCTTTCTCTAGCTGCAGCGAGTGGGGCCTACTCTTCATTGCGGTGCGCGGGCTCCTCATCGCGGTGGCTTCTCTTGTTGTGGAGCACGGGCTCTAGGCACGTGGGCTTCAATAGTTGTGACACATGGGCTCAGTAGTTGTGGCGCACGGGCTTAGTTGCTCTGCGGCATGTGGGATCTTCCCGGACCAGGGCTCGAACCCGTGTCCCCTGCATTGGCAGACGGATTCTTAAGCACTGCACCACCAGGGAAACCCTCACTGAGATTTCTTAGAGGAACCTTTCATCCTCTTCAACCTAGGCTATAAAAACGACTTCCCATCTGGTGCCCCTCCCCAGTGCTCTCCCCGTCCAGTTCATTTCCCACGCCATGTCAGTCTTTATCCGTAAAGCACAGATCTGAGCACACCGTGGCTGCATTCAAGCCCTTCAGTGGCTCCCCTTTGAGTACGAGAGAAAGTCCAGCTCTCACGATGACATACGAGGTTCACGCTGATCTGACCCAAGTCCCTCTCCTGACTTCGCCCCTGCCCAGATGGCCCTTACACACATGCTGTTCTCTCTGCTTGTAATGCCCTCTTTGTCTTTCTTTTAATTAGGGGTTGGGGGCTGAGGAGGAGAATGCCCTCCTCAAAAGGCCTCCCGAAAATCTAGCAAAAACATCAGCTCCTCAAGTGAAGCCTTCCTTCCCAGACATCCACTGCCCAGAGTTCATCTCTGCCACTTCCGTGATTCTAGGACACCCTGTCCTAACCTTGATCGCCTCATGTGTGACATGGCACTGTCACTTGCCTCTTCACAGCTCTTTTTCTTTCACTAAACCACTCTCTTCAAGATGGGGAGCCACAT